GCTGGTACTGGGCTGGATGATTTCCCCATTCAATAATTCTTGAATTACCTTCTCAATTTCATTCTTTAGATACTGTGGGTATCTATAAGGTCTGATGTTTGGGATAGTTGATCCTTCCTCAATGTTAATAGAATGATCACATTCCCTTTTTGGAGGTAATCCATCTAGGGAGTTGAAAACTTCAGGAAAGTCTGCCTTGCATTCCCTGATCCATACTTGTCTAACTTCATTATCTTCCACTTCTTTCAATTCAGCTTGTTACAAACAGTATCCTTCTACTTGTATGTGTAAAGCTTTTACCAAACTTTTCAGAGATGCTTCAGTTCTGCTAAGTTTAGGATCCCCTTAACTTCCTTGACTGACCATCTTCAACCCATTTGATAGTTAATTGATGGAAGTTAAATTCCACATTTCCCAATCCAGAGCCATCCCATGCACTACACAATTTCAGTTTCTCCTAACTCCAAAGTGTAGAAGTCTTGAGTAATCATAATCTGCTGCACTTTAACACATAAGTCCTCACATCTTCCATCATTTTTAATTTGATCTCCATTCCCTATTTCCACCTTAAATTCAGGGATATGAAGTATAGGAATTCCCACATCTTGTACAACCCTGGGAGGTATAAAGTTGTGAGTGGCCCCACAATCAATCAGTATGATTACATCTTTGCTTCCCCTATGGCCCTGTATTTCTCCTCTTAGCTTGAAAGTCCTTGGAGTGGTCATTCCTTCTTTACTCATTAGTGATAATTGCATGCTGGAGAGGTCATTTTCTTCAATCTTTGATATAGGTTCCAGTTGATTTTCTCCTTGCTCTTCCTTCTCTTCAGAATCATCTAACATGATGATCTGAAAGTGTTTCATCTTGCATATGTGACCTTTACCCCATTGTTCCCTACATTTGAAGCAAAGACCCTTCCTGCTCAACTCCTGTAGTTCAGACTGAGATAATCTTTGTGTTCCCCTCATGGCAGCGCCTTTATTTACTGCATCATTGTTCTTCTCCATGGTAGATTTCTCAGGATTAGTCTGGCTACTCAAACTGTTCTTCCACTTGTTCTCATTTAACCATCTGTGGGAGTGTGTTGAGACATTCACTTTATCCTTCAGTCCTCTTCTATCATCTTCCTTGTACCTGCTTGAATTCAGAGTCTGGTTTCTTTCTTCAACCATCAAAGCCTTATCCATTAACTCTGCAAGAGTTCTAACAGGATTCAACTTCAATTCAGCTCTTATTTCAGCTTTCAACCCTTTCAGAAAAATTCCCTTGAGAATTTTCACATCAGTATGTTTCAGGGGAGCTACAATCAACTCAAATTGTTCCATATACTCCATCACACTACCTGTCTGTGTTATACTTAGTAAGGGACCATATGGATCCTGTAACAATCCAGGTTGGAATCTACGAATCAAGGCATCTTTAAACTGTTCCTCCCACCATTGGAACCTGTTTAAAGCCTTTTCTTCCATAGCTAAAGTAATTAACTCTACTTTATCATCTTCTGCTATGCGATTCATTTTAAAGAAGCGTTCCACCTTAATAGTCCATCTGTACGCATCATGACCATTGAAAAGTGGTAAATCCACTTTTCTTCCAGATTTCTCAATCCGCCTATTGTAATCATCATCGCGTCTAGAAGATGAGGAACGGTGATTACCTTCAGATGAAGATGACTCACGACCATACTTGTCACGACGGTAAGTCGCGGCGCCAGCCGGCCGCCATATTGCTTAGGCGATAAGGCGCCCGCCTAGGCGACAATTAGTCGACTAGTCACCTATACATGAATAATATATTATATATATAATATTAAACTATGCGAAATATGTATATCATATATATAATATTATATGTTTATATATATATATAGTTATATACGGAGTATATAATCATATATATATAATTAAACTATGCGAAATATGTATATCATACGTAGTACTATCCTCCGTTCCATAAAAGTTGCAACAGTTTGACTTTCACGTTTGCCAACGTGCAACTTTGACTGTAATTATATTAATTTACGTATTAGTAAACATTAAAAAAAGTTAATATATTAGAAATTTACATTAATACAAATTTATTAATATTTTATACATAATATTTGTATTATATATATTATTAGAAAATCGTAGTCAAAGTAAGGTGTGTGAATAGTGCAGAAATTCCAATGTTGCAACTTTTATGGAACGGAGGAAGTATATATTAGTATGTACTAATTTTTATGATTATTTTAATAGTTTATTATTTTACAATTTATAACATATAATAAAATAGAAGTCTCACGGGCTGGGGACACACATATATTGATAGATATATATAACTACACCCTTCCAATATATATATACCCACACACAACTTAATTAATTAAAATAAGAAAAAAATGAAGCCAATAAGAAGAGATCGGGGACTGGGAACTGGGAAGTCATCTGCTACTCTGCTTCCGCGAGCGAGGGACTGAAGGAAGGCGATACCTGCGAGTTCGTCTTCTTCGTGGAGTTGTTCGTCTGCTTCATGTGAGTTCGTCTTCCGCGAGCGAGGGACTTGGTTTGGCTATACGACTTTGGGCAACAAATCGTCGGTAAGGTAGATTACTATGGGCTTGCTTTTAATTAAAGACTAAATCTATTTTTATTTGGGTTCTGGGCCTGCGCCATAACGGTCCGACTTTCCAAAAAGTCGAGGTCTTCATCGCCAAAACAGCGCCTAGCCGACGCCTAGATGACGCCGTTCACGACTACTCTTCATCTGGCGAGGCGAGTGAAGCTGGCGGGCAGTCCCTAGCGCCAGGACGCCTAGTCGGCAACTAGGCGACGCCGTGACAAGCATGCTCACGACTATCATTCCCCGCACTTCTCTTGGTAGTTTTTGATCTTCCGCGTGAGTTGCGAACATTCCGCTGCAGAATTAATTCGCGCAACTCTTCGCGATCACGTCTGGCCTCTTCACGACTTTTCTCCAGCTCACGCTCCAAGTTTTCCAGCCTCGCTTCCATTGTTATTGTAGCGGTCATGTACAGGTAGCAAGATCGTTGCTCTGATACCAATGATAGGTAATCAGCTACGAACACAGTAATTCAAGCAATAAATTGGGAACGAAATGTATGAACAGTCTCAGGAAGGTAGTTATTAACAGAAATGAGAGAGAAAATATCCGGCAGTTTAAAGAGAGCCACTCTCCAAGTCCCAGCCCAACCGAAACAATACCAGCCTACTCCTTATTACAATAGCTTCGTATTTATAGTAGTTCACCCAGCCCTTTATACAGTTCATAGCTATTTAATATTCCCCTTACTTCTTCTAGAATATACTTGGTTATAATAGTTAACACTATTATTAGTAATGGGCTGACTCCCAGTGTCTCTATCAGAAGTGTCACCCAAAGAGACGCCATGGAGCAGGACGACGGTCGCGACTACGGAAGAAACTACGGAGCTAGGCAAGACCAAGTGGTGTACTCCGTGGAGAAGCAGCGGCTGTAGAGGACTACATGGAGAAGCAGTGGCAGTGGAGGACTCCTGGGAGATGCAGCTCCGTCGGAGATGTATGGGAAAGAAGAAAGTTGATGATAGAGAAGAAGAGAATAGTGAACTGTTTCCTTTTCTGTAGATCAGGATCCACGAAAGGAAATGTTAAAACAAATAAGGACATTTTTGGAATATGCCATGTGAGAGTTGAAAGGGATTCTCTCATTTTGGGACAGATGGAGTATTATTTTATTTGACCTGGAGGAATATGCCATGTGGGTGTTGAAAGGATTCAGGAATTCTCCCTTTAAGAGACCCACAAGTCACAACAATCACATTTAGCATGTTTCTAATGTGCTATGCCTTGTACAAATTGGTTGCTGTTCTTATTTCTTCCTTATTTCTATTACCCTGTTGCATGAGAAATGGTTTTGGGTTTCTCTATCATTTTGTGATCTAAGTGATCTGGACTAGCTCTCCTGGGAATTCAACTGATCATCATTATTCTTGTGCTGCTAGATTTAATAAATATAGGAACTGTTTAGTCAAAGTGATAAAGCACGTTCTATGCCTGTTTTCATGAAGAATGGAAAATGCAAACATGTGTCTAAGAAGTACTACCCCCGTCCCAAAATACTTAGCCAAATCTTAAAATTTGGACCATGATTTTGATTAGTACTCCCTCCATCCCTTAAAACTTTGCCATCTTTCCTTTTTGGGACGTCCCAAAAAACTTTGACACTTTCCATTTTAATCAATTATTTGTGGTTTCTGTTATTTCTCTCTCCTCTGCACAAACCTCAACCACACAGTTTTTACTTTATTATTCTCTGTGCCGGTCAACTTTGGCAAAGTTTTAAGGGACGGAGGTAGTATAATAATGTGAAAGTTATAAATTTAATACTTTTATAAAAGTACTTTTAACAAGGAACATTTTCATATTATAAATAATTTCCAATAAATGTATATAACTGGTCAAAGTTTTGAATTTGGCCAAGTATTTTGGGACGTTAGGTAGTACTCCCTTCATCCCATTTAAAGGTTCCCGTCCACTATTTTCCTGTCAACGTGCATTGTTCTTAATCTTTTGCTTTATATATCCAACTTTTATCAAATTTAAATTTTCTTGATCAGACTTTGTAGCGGTTTTAATGTAGTTTCTGAATATGTAAATTTTATCTAAAAATAGTTCTACTAATGACATGGATCAGTTAACTTTATGGTCAGTCAAACGTAAACCATGTGGAAACGTTTAAATGGGACGGAAGGAGTATAAGAAAAGTGCTCATTTTAAAAAATAATCATTTCGCAATTTTTTGTTTGAAAATCCATTTTTTTTGTTGAAAATCAATTAACCTAGTGTGATACTTTCATTTCAAAAAAAAAACTTAGTGTGATACTTTAGAAGTTAGAACCCTTATGTGGAACTGCTTGCTCATTCTTCTGCATGGCATGTTGGAATGCTAGTATGATACCTTTGCGCTTGTGGATTTGTTTCTTCTCTCACTATGCAATTGCTGATTCGCTGTCTCAGGTTACATCGAGCTCAGTAAGATTGGTCTGCTCTACATCCAGAGAGCTGAAAGATGAATGGCACGCTCCATCTAATCTTTCGATCAATGTTGCAACTGCAAATGACACACAGGTTTGCTTCTCTCATTGTTAATTGTTGCTCAAGAATAAAAAAATAGATTTCTATCATTTGATCGATCGAGTTTTGGATGGATTTGAAGTACAATACATAGCAGTATCCCATCTATAGGACCACCTGCAAATAGTTGTCCTTGACGTCTTGACCTTCTATGACCCGTCATAGAAAGTTACTTTTAAATGGAAACCAAGCGTAATCTATAATTAATATCAACTACACTGGCTCTCTTTTAATTAATCTTAACTATCAATTCTCGATAATTAGATGGCGTAAAAAGATTTATATAAATTTCCATAATAATTTTTTATTAATGAAAAATAAAAAATTCCAAGACTGTACCAAGGTTTAGAAAATAAAAATGTTTTTAGTTTATTTTTTATTTTCGCTAAAATTTATATATTTCTTTTATTCTAAACCTTTCATTTTTTCAATTGCTTTACAATTTATGATTTTGTATTGTTTTTCTTTTCTCCAAATTGATATGTTCTTTGTTTTAAAAATTTCTAAAAAGATTTGATAGTTTAAGATTAAAAGCATTTCCAACCCTTTTAAAAAATATGTTTTGATTCGTTTGCGCTATCATTAATAATATAAACTTTCCATTTTTTCTATTTAATATGTTCAATTTCTTTCTTCTTTCTTTATTTTAATATTATTATATTCTATAAATTACCCAAGAAGTTTGGTAGAGTTTATTGACAAAAAAGAGGCTTTATTGTGTCTTTTTTAATAATTAAGATATGGACAAAAAAGAGTTTTTTTTTTGTTTTAAAAAATTTGTCTTAATAAGTCCCCAATTGGAAACACTTAAATGCGTTATTCTAAATTACCCATCCCAATGCCTAGTGACACCATCCTGGCAGTGACCCTGACCTTAGCGCCCCAGAGACCAATTGTTAGTGACTCTGGTGGCTCAGTGACCTGCAGCCTGACCCCATCTCCCTAGTGACTAACTTGCTGTTACTCCGGCGGTCTAATGGCCTGTCCTAGTGACCTGGACCTAGTCTCCTAGTCCATTGACCGCACCAGTAACCCGGCTTCCTAGTGACCCGACTCCTTAGTTACCAACCGCCACCAATGTCTGACATCTCGATGACCAACCCATCACCGCACAATCATCCTCACCACCCCCACTGATTAGTGGCCTCACCAGCCCGTCACTTTACAACCACCCTCATGATCCCGCTCTTGAAGCCCTAGCTGCCCCATACTGCCGGGCAGCAGTTCTAGTCGGAGTTAGTCCCTGAACCCCCTGTGACTAATTGGCACCCAAAACCCTAGCCCAATCGCAGCCTACTGCAGGGCAGAACCCTAGCCGGAGTTAAAGTCCACCAATACTGCAGGCCCCCTAGCTACCCGGTAGTAACCCTAGCGCAATTTTCGCCTACGACTGCTCGCCAGACAGCAACCTTAGCCAAACTGTTGGCTATTGCCGCGCCAATCACCTCAACAAGTCGCCTCCAAACGCTGGACGAAAACCCTACCTCAATCGCCACACACAATCACTATTTTCCAACCCAATCGTTGGCAGAATAGGAGATGATGATGATGACGACGACGACGATGGTGATGATGAAGAAGAAAGCGAAGAAGAGGAGCGGTGTGAAAGTTGCAGGGGAGATTCATTGGTGATGGCTGCTGCAGGCCGGGGCGGTGATGCCACAGCTGCATATGTCGTCGACGAAGCCACTTCCGTCATCGCTGAGCACCACAATACAGTAGAGGCGGCGACTGCAGAGCTGAAGAGGCGCCAACAGATCTGAAGGAGAGGAGGCGCTGACAAATGTGATGAGATTAGGGTTTTAGTATGGTATTTATATGATGAGTATTTCTGTCCATTTAAATATAACTGGTCTCTGTTTCATCCATTTAAAAAATTAGTCCTATTATTGCCTACTAGAAAGCTGATAGTATTATTTTTGTCATTATTTCTTTATTAGATTAATGTGTAAGATATAGGGTGTATGACTTATAGGTTTGAGATTTTTTAATAAAATGATGTTAAGATTATAGACTTATAGTGTTAAGAAAGGTGATTATAATTTAAAATGATACTCCTTCCGTGTTTAGTTACTTGAAACTATTGAGTTTTCATGAGTTCAAAAATCAAACAGTAGACAATATTACTGTAGAAAAAGGGTAAAAAGTTGGAGATAAAGATTCAGAAGTATAAAAAAAAGGTGAAAAAGTAGAAACAAGTAAGGATATTTGTAAATGTAAAACTTACCAAAATAGAAAATAATTGTTTAAAGTGGACTGAGGATAGTTCAGATTATTATAACTAATCAAGACAATCAGTGACCGGTCGGCGGTCACATAGGACTATTTTGAAGAGGTCCCTATAGCTAGGACGGTTAAGCCATCCACATAAATACAAACTGACATATAAACCTTGGGCTATTTAATACTACCTCCGTCCTCCTAATATTGGGATGGAAGGAAGTGGTGTGGTTTTTAAGAAAAGTAGAATTATGTGGTCATCGTGCTTGGTTGAAAAGCCGGTGGCGCGAAGCTACCTTGCGTTGGATTATGACTGTCTCAATTTAGTAATCCTTGGTGCATCCTGTGCCGGGGGTTTGTTGTTCATCATGGTTGCACCCAAAAGCACACCTATAGTAGTTAAATAAGCACAAACCCCAAATCTCGGAGTAGCGACAATTCGACAATGGCAGGGAAATCACACATTTACTGTTCATTTTCTTTTTTTCATTTTCCTTTATTTTTCTTGATAAATAAAATTCCACGATGTCATATAATCGTTCACTCTTAAAGGAACATTCATTCATTTGCAGAAAATTTTAATGGTCAGTGGCATACTTGTCACGGCGGTAAGGCGAGTCGCGGCGCCAGCCGACCGCCATATCGCCTAGGCGACAAGGTGCCCGCCTAGGCGACAATTAGGCGACTAGTTGTACATTGAATAATACATTATATATGTATATATTATATTACATATAATCATATGTATAATTATATATAATATATTACTAATTAAGTTGTATATTACCTAGAATTGAATACAACAATTAATGATTGAATGTTTGAAATTTCCTTGAAACTAAGGTTTATTAAAGGCAATTATGAGTAAAAATGCTATCTCATAAAGTACGTATATCATAATTCATATATTTGTATACACAATTATTTATAATTTTATATAATACAGGGTAGTTTTTATTAATAGTTTAACGGTTTTATAACATACAGTAATTGTATAAGACTATAAAATAGCACCGAGCATCCTATGCTCTGTGCCTCTGACTGACTGTATGCGTGTGTACTATGTATACAATATACGTAGTATATATACAAATTAATTAATTAGAATATTCAAAAATCAATCGACAGAGGAGAAGAGAAGTTCGACAAAACGAGAAGAGACGGGGGCCTCGAAGCGTACTTGTCGGCTGCTTCCTGCGAGTGTGAGACTGCGATCTGCGCTCGTCTGCTTCCTGCGAGAGACTGCGAGACTGTGTGATCTACGCTCGTCTGCTTCCTGCGAGTCGCGTCTGCTTCTTGGGCCTGCGGACTGCGGTTACACTAGCCAAAATCTAGACGCCTTATCGCCAAAAGCTCGCCTGGACGACGCCAACGTCGCCTACTCTTCTTCTGGCGAGGCGAGTTAACCCGGCGACCATTCCCTAGCGCCAGGACGCCTAGTCGCCGCCTAGGCGACGCCGTGACAAGTATGGTCAATGGGGCTTATTTGTAATTTTTTGGAATCACTAGGTCAATTGGTAATTTTACTTAACCTTGTTGGGTGTGTGTGTGTGTAAATGTAAATAATCTTATATGTTAAGTATATGCCCCCTTCGAAGTTGTCTGGGGAGCCATATTAGTATAAAGTTTTATATCTTGTCTCAGGGTCTGCATTAGCCTGTGCATGGGTGTGCATAATGCATTTGTATATATACATGTATTTATGTAACTATGTTGTGTATATATATCACTGTATGTTTTTTTTACAGGTATTATTGGCTACAGGGGGTGGCCATTTAGTTTACCTAGAAATTGGCGATGGAAGGTTGATTGAATCAAAACACGCACAGTTGGAGCATGATATTTCTTGCCTGGATATAAATCCAATTGGTGATAATCCAAACTATAGTCATCTAGCTGTAGTGGGAATGTGGACTGACATAAGTGTTAGGATATATTCTCTACCTGAACTGAGTCTCCTTAAAAAGGAGCACTTGGGAGGAGAAATTATTCCTCGTTCTGTTCTTCTATGCTCCTTTGAAGGGGTAATTTCTTTTCCTAATCTTGTAGATAGTTAAATATTTTAGTTCCCTGCTTGTAGTACCTGTACTTATCAATCGAGGAATTAAAGCGCTAGAAAATAGTTTCTTTGTAGGATTCCCAACAACAAGAAACGGGGAAGATGTTATCTGCCTGACATTTTACACCACACTCCATACTAAATACAATGTAACTAAGACACATCTTTCCATGCTAAAAATTGAATAATGGACTTGCTAGATGTGGCCAGAAAAATCAATCCACAACATTGTATGAAAGGCATTGCTAATTAATAATCAATTAATTACCATTTCTTTTATCGAAGAAAAGAATAGATAGTAGTCAGTAATCTCTAAATGACATATGTTTTTGTTTATTTTTCTTCTTTCAGATATCTTATTTGTTATGCGCCCTTGGAGATGGTCATCTCATAAATTTCATTTTGGACGTGCATAGTGGAGAGCTAGCAGATAAAAAGAAAGTATCTCTTGGGACTCAACCAATAACACTTCGTACTTTCTCATCAAAGAATGCCACACATGTGTTTGCTGCTTCTGATAGGCCAACTGTCATCTATAGCACCAACAAGAAACTGCTTTACAGCAATGTGAACCTTAAAGAAGTTAGCCACATGTGTCCGTTCAACTCTGCTGCCTTTCCAGACAGGTAATATACATTGTTTCTGCCTTCTCTGTCTGAAATCTCTTTAGGTATTGATATTTCTATCCTCAACCTCATATGTGGTATTGTGGAGGCTGTGGAGGCAGTAGGGGATGGGCGCTGACAGAGAATCAATATCCCATGTATTATTTGCTTAGCAGGATTGTTTTAAAACTCAGATTGGACTGGTTGGAACAGGAACTGGGGGTAGGGCCTGTCCGCTTTATATATTGGATTGATTACGTAAGAAAACCAGTTCCGCTAGTGGCCTATATTTTCTGTCCAACTGGGGGGGGGGGGGGGGGAGAACCATTACATGTGTGTGTTTTAAAACTAAATTATTTGATGTGTGTTGGATTAGAACACAAGACCTCCTTTTCACACTCATGCACTCAAGTCACTAAACTATGATACTTATAGAACAACAACAACAACCTACGGTGGAGTAAGGGGGGGGGGGAGGTCAGATGTTTGCAACCTTGCCCCTGTTATAAAGCACAGAGAGACTGTTTCCGGTGACCCATGATGAAAATCACGTCGAAAATTGCATGTATTGACTGCTGTTTCTGTGCTTCATAACAAAGAAGTGCACACAGTTTAGTGAACCATTTTGCTTTGTTCCATCATATTCCCAAGCCAAAAAATAGTGAGTCTTTGGCTCCATTGGAAATGATACTTGTAGAACATATAGCTTTTATGTATCAAACAATAAAACTAATCGATTGATTTGAAGTTTTTATTGTATTCTACCGTTCACATTTATGTATGGTTTCTCAAATTTCAATATTTATGATATCGATGCACTTTTTATTTTAAGATAGGGGTTTGATCAAGGCTTGTTCTGGAGCATATATAGTTTACTGTTTCTAAGGCAATGAGGCATTTTTCGAAGCTAGGTTATTCATGGATGTGATTTAATTCTTAAACTGAAATATTTAAAAAACTTGAGTTAAAAAACAAATGTGTATATTTTGCACTTTGGAAATGCCATGTCTTTACTAAAAGCATATTTAGAATTACTATATGAACTATTATGTTGACAAAATATGTGTTAATGATTGTGTTATCTATCCTTTCATTGACTAATTCACGTTAGTTTTTTCTAATGTGTGCCCATGGGTACAAGATAAGGATCAATTGATTAGTTCATTTTCATTTGATAATGAGTATTTAATTTTTATGAATTGCATAAACTATTCTTGATTATAGGGATGTATTGATTTTTTAAGTTACACTTACTTTTTCTTGAATGAATCAAATTTGTTCTTGAAATTCGACGACATTTATTGATTATTATGTTGTTCCCATGTTATAGTATTAGTAAAATTTAGTCATGAAATTTAGTAAAATTTAGTCATGAAATTAGTTAGAAAAGGTGCATTTTCTTATACGCATCTCCTTAAATATGTTAAAGAATTAGTCCCTCAGTAACTCTATCCTTTGTCAACAGCCTTGCAATTGCAAAAGAAGGTGAACTAACAATTGGAACCATTGATGACATTCAGAAGCTACACATTCGTTCTATTCCGCTTGGTGAGCATGCACGCCGTATCTGCCATCAAGAACAGACCCGCACATTTGCAATATGTTGTTTGAAGTATAATCAATCAAATGCAGAAGATACTGAAGTGCATTTTATCCGCTTGCTAGATGACCAGACTTTTGAAATCATATCAACATACTCACTTGATCAATTTGAATGTGGCTGTTCCGTACTGAGTTGCTCCTTCTCTGATGATAATACTGCATACTACTGTGTTGGAACTGCATATGTAATACCTGAGGAAAATGAACCTACAAAGGTATGATATCATATGTAAAGACTCATGCATACATTCTGTTTGTACATGGCATGTGCAAAGCTGTACAAAACACTAGGCACCTAAGGGTCAATCAGAGTTAGACGGGATCTATGTTGAATTGGGTTAGGTGTAAGTGGGAAAAAAAGCGTAGGTTTCTGGTTTCCAAAAAGCACTAAGTGGCCTGGGTGGGTATTTACATAGAACCAATCTATGGTATTATCATGTATAAATTTGAGTAGAACATTGGGTATGAATTAATAACGCAAATCCATTATTATAACACAGGATAATCCTATACTGCTACAGAGTAACACATTTCTCTTGCTATTCCATTCCATTCCATTCGGCTATAAATTTCAGAATAAATTACATTGTGAAACTCTACTATCTTTACTGTTGCATATTTATTTCTATGTAATTAACGCTTTTAACAAATTTTCAGTTGGTTACGTGCCTGGCCCTGAAAACCCAGTCGACATATAATCAGTAGCGTAATAATAAACTCCAATTGTCAGGCCGGTTAGGCCCTAAAGACTACATTAATGTAACTAGGATGCTAAACTACCCCAAGAAATTTAATTATTAAGGCTGTGTTTGGATGACCATTTCAGCCCAAAATGAGCTGAAATTTGATCAAAGTTAATCAGCTGATTTGAAACATGACTAATTGTAGTTTCAGTTCAGCCCTTTAATTTACTGCAAAGTCATGTCAACCACCCTACCGTTATTCAAATGTTATCTTGTTTCTATCAAACGATTTATTTTTATGGTAGTTTTACATTTTTCAGTAGCCAAACAAGTCTATTTCGTTCATGAGGTGATGCCTTCATAAAGCTCATACATATTACTACGTATAATGTATGTATTTACAGATGCTTGGATTTTTATTTGATCATTGTCATCATCTCTTGTCAATCTAACATCTGCAGGGTCGTGTACTAGTTTTTGTTGTTGAAGATGGGAAGCTCCAGTTGATTGCAGAGAAAGAAACCAAAGGGGCTGTATATTCATTAAATGCATTCAACGGGAAATTACTTGCTGCAATAAATCAAAAGATTCAGTTATACAAGTGGATGCTCCGTGATGACGGTACACATGAATTGCAGTCGGAGTGTGGCCATCATGGCCATATACTAGCCCTCTATGTTCAAACTAGGGGAGATTTTATTGTTGTGGGTGATCTGATGAAATCGATTTCCCTGTTAATGTACAAGGTATGGCCTGTAAATACTTCACCTTCTCCCATCCTTCTCCATTACTTCAACATCTAGCGTCCTTCCTATATGAAAAACCCACTTTCTGTCCAATATGAAAAACCCACTTTCTTATTTAAAATTGTCTTGTAGTTATATTCATCTTTTTTATAAGGGAAAATAATATTAAGTAATACTAACTATCACACAAACCAATAATAATACATGCTTGAGAACTAACTTTTAATAATACTAATTATTTGAATATATAACGAAGGAAAATTACAGTTGTACACAAAATTTGTAAACAAGTTGTACACTGCCTGTGTGCACAGGTATTTGGCAGATTTTTTGTAAAAGCACACTGGCAAATTATACACCCCCCCCCCCCCCCCCCCCCCCCCCCTTGTTGCCTGGCAGTTCTCACCCACCACCTTTATCTCCCCCTTCCCTGTGTTTGCCTGCTCTTCTTGAGCTGCCACCCGATTCCCCACGTACTGTGACTTCACAAATCACAATCCTCTCCTCTTCTGCCTATATCTCCATCTTCCACAGCCTCTAGCTCTGCCGCTACCTCTCCATGTTGTGTACACAGGCCGTTTACAACTTGTGTACAAATTTTGTGTACAACAAGAATTGCCCTTTAACAAAAGGAATACATAACCACTTTTGTACTAGAAATTCGATCATTTAGTCACAAAAAATTATATCAAAATGTCAAATAAGTGACCCATTTCGAGATAACTTCAATTTGATTGTTCGATATCATTTCGTGATGTGACAAGTGACTGGATTTGTAGTCAGAAAGAGGCCACATTATTTTTGTTATATATTAAAATAGTTCATATTATTAAAAATTATTTCTAAGTACGTATTATACTATTATTGATTTATGGGAGATGGTCAATATTATTTAAATTTATTTTCCCTATTTTTGAACTCAACCAACTGTCTACTCACAAATTATTCTTTTCTGATTTATGATTTGACCTGTTGGTCCATCTGCAGAACTGTGTGTGAGGGTCCTTTTTAAGGGTAAAATTGGAGAATTGATCACATACCGTTTCTTCCATTAATACACGTGTAAAAACTAAAAAGCAATTGTGACCATAAGTTGGGCTGGATGGGGGAGTATATAAATCTAAACATACATGTGCTGACGGTTTAATAATTATTTTGTTTAGCATGAGGAGGGTGCTATTGAGGAGCGGGCGCGTGATTACAATGCTAATTGGATGTCGGCCGTTGAGATACTTGATGACGACATCTACCTTGGTGCCGAGAACAACTTCAACCTCTTCACGGTCCGGAAAAACAGCGAAGGCACGACGGATGAGGAGCGGAGCCGCCTTGATGTGGTAGGGGAATATCACCTTGGTGAGTTTGTTAACCGTTTCCGGCATGGTTCTCTGGTCATGCGGCTTCCAGATTCAGATGTCGGTCAGATTCCGACAATAATCTTTGGGACAGTCAACGGTGTGATCGGGCTCATTGCCTCACTACCATATGAGCAGTATGTGTTTTTGGAGAAACTCCAGATGAATTTAAGGAAGGTTATAAAGGGTGTGGGAGGGCTTAGCCATGAGCAATGGAGGTCATTTTATACGGAGAAAAAGACGATAGATTCCAAGAACTTCTTGGATGGAGATCTGATTGAATCTTTCCTAGATCTCAGTCGGGTTCGGATGGAAGAGATATCCAAGGCGATGGATGTTCCTGTAGATGAACTCATGAAGCGAGTTGAAGAGTTGACCAGATTGCACTGACCTCACTTCCCTTTATCCTTCTTGTTGTAGAACTAACAATCATGTCCATTCATTTTTTTAAAAGTTAAATTATACTATCTTTACCCATCTTTGCTTTTGTAATGTGCCGTGAGAAATTGCAGTATCACTTATGAATGTTTCTGTTTTTTCTTCTCAACTAGCTTTTGTTTTAATACACATATTAGCATTTGTCTTTATTGTTGAAATCCTGCTTTTACACAAATTTCTTAAGACAATGTGAGTACTTGCAGTTGGAATTCGTGCTTTTACACAGTTTTCTGAACGCAGTGGGTACCATACGTCTTGGTTGAAATGATTGAATATATCGAGTTTGGATTGCAAACGAACTTTTGTCCAATGAGGGAAGTAGGCAGGAGTGGACTCGGGCCGGGCCAACCGGCCCGGAACCGGACCGGCCCGCTACTGTGCGGGCCCGCACCGGCCCGGTTTGTCGGTTAGGTCACGGTTCCGGCCACCCGGCCCGGTCATGTAGCGGTTCGGGCCCGGGCTGATATTTTGGTGAACCGGCCCGGCCGGGCCGGGCCCGGTCCGGGCCTCAACGGTCACACAATTTTTTTTAATAAATATTTGAAGGCTCTACTAGCCGTTGGGAGACCTCCCAAACGGCTCTATAGCCGTTGGGAGCATAGGAGGGGGGGGGGGGTCTGGGGGGTTAGGGGGGGTGGGGTGGGGGTGGGGTATACAAAAAAACCTATTTATACTCCTATTTTCTATACATTTTTTACACCTCTTCTTCTACAACTCTTCCTACTCTCTAAATTCTCTATTCTCTCAATCTCTCATATTCAATCATCTTCATTCTTCATCTTCTCCAAATTCTTTCTACATATATATAATTTATATAATTATTATATCTACTTATATATTATAATATTAATTATCTACTAATAAATATATACTTATACACATTCATATTATAATTCTTTACGCATTATATTATATACTATATATTGTTATACATTATATTATATATTACTTATAATATATTTACACATTATATATTTATATATACTATATATAGTTATACATTATATTATATATTACTTATAATATATTTACACATTATATATTTATATATACTATATATAGTTATACATTATATTATATATTACTTATAATATATTTACACATTATATATTTATATATACTATATATATATAAATTACTTAATTTATATATACACTTCTCGTTTATCTATTTAATTACTTAATTGTTTCATTTGTCATATTAATATTAGTTAAAGTAGTTAAAGTTAATTGTTTCATTTGTCATATTAATATTAGTTAAACTACTTAATTGTTACATTTCTCATATTAGTTAATTAGTTAATTGCTACATTTTTACATTTCTCATATTAGTTAATTGCTACATTTTTACATTTCTCATATTAGTTAATTAGTTAATTGCTACATTTTTACATTTCTCATATTAGTTAATTGCTACATTTGTACATTTCTCATATTAGTTAATTAGTTAATTGCTACATTTTTACATTTCTCATATTAGTTAATTAGTTAATTGCTACAATTTTACATTTCTCATATTAGTTAATTGCTACATATCTCATTAAAGTAAAAAAAACTAGTTAATTTTTACATTTCTCATATTAGTTAATTAGTTAATTGCTACAATTTTACGTTTCTCATATTAGTTAATTAGTTAATTGCTACATTTTTACATTTCTCATATTAGTTAATTGCTACATATCTCATTAAAATAACAAAACTAGTTAATTTTTACATTTCTCATATTAGTTAATTGCTAATATTTGTTCAATTTTAAAGATGGAGCGTGGTAGACATTCTGTAGATGTGGGTAATCTCCAACGCAACCGCAAGAGGGAGATTGCATGGACTCGATCTACTTCACGCAAAGGCAAAGGTAAAGCACGGGTCGAGTCTTCTTTTCAAAGTCGAGATGATTTTGAAACGGATTACCAACGGCGAGATGGTATGATGATGTCCGACGAGGAACTACAACACCTATTGTCCCAAAATGATCCACGTTTTGCACAAGAACAACAATTCCCGACAACATCGATGAAGAGGAGCTCGAGGATGACGATGGGGAGGAGGACGCGGGGGGCGACGGGACTCCGGATGATGAGCAAGAGGACGAGGGCCCTTCAACGACTACAACCCAAATTGGTAAGAAATCTAAATCTCCTATCATTGCAAGAAAGAGTTTAGCTTGGGAACTTCTGGCGGATACGGGAGTCTCAAAAGACATCTTCAGTCCGCCCACTTTGTGGAGTATGCGAAAATAGACAAAGGAAAGGGGAAGCAAACACAAATATCAAGGTTTGCAAATTCTCAACCCTTTGGTAATTTTTCCTATGATGATAAAAAACATTTGACTGGTATGTCTCATTTAATTGTTGAAGAAAATTTACCCTTTATTTTTTCCGAAAGTCTTGCTTTAAAAGATTATGCTCAAGGTACTTTAAATCCTCAATTTAGAAATTATAGTCGCAAAACAATTAAAAAAGAAGTTATAAGGCAATATAACTTGGAAAAAGAAAAATTACAAATATTTTTCGCAAACTTTGATGGACGTGTTAGTATTTGTAGCGATATATGGGAGGATACTTATCATCATTTATATTATTTGGGTCTAACTGCACATTATATTGATGATGATTGGAATATGCATAAACGTGTTCTTGCTTTTCGTGAATTCAATGATCGTCACACTGCTGATAATATTTATATTCTCATTGAACGTATTTTAATTGAGTATAATTTGATTGATAAGGTGTTTGCTGTAGGTTTTGATAATGCTAGTAATAATACTGCTGCTATACCTAGATTACGTGAATTGTGTGGTGCTTCTACATTGATGTGTAGATTTTTTCATCAACGTTGTGCATGTCATATTCTAAATTTGTGTGTACAAGATGGCTTAGCGGCATTAGGAAATGCTTTGGAGGTAGTGAAGGGGGGAATTAAATTGATTTGGGCTAACACTTCACTAAAAATGCAATGGCGGCAATATTTGAAGGATAGACGTGTGAATTATTGTGCTTTTCCTAAAGATTTGTCTATTCGTTGGAATAGTACTTATAATTTAATTCAAGTACTTGTTAGATATAAAAGATCATTTTCCAGCTTTTTTAAGACAAACTTGTAACTATATTATAAACCCGGCTGACATCGACACTTGTGAAAAAATTGTTAATGTTTTGGCATATTTTAATAACGCAACTCTAACTTTTAGTCATGTTTATAAACCTACCGCAAACGAATTTTTTGTTGAAGCTGTTAATCTCGCCGGCGCTTTTTGTGAATTTTCCGACGCCACTTACGTTAGTTATTTTTGTGATTTCATGAAACAAAAGTTTTTAAAATATTATTCTCATATTCCGCATATATATGGTATTGCATTTGTTCTTGATCCTCGTTATAAACTTCCTTACTTGGCAAATTGTATAGATTACTATTATGCTTCTTTTTTTCCAACTCAAGAGTTCGATGATAATCCCATCGACCCTAAACAAGAATTCAACGAGGTTAGTAATTTATTTCATCAATTGTATAATGAATTTCATGCACAATATGGTAATGCACCCCCTCCCATGCAACGAACATCTTCTTCATCTAAAGGAAAATCACTTTTAAAATCCGCTTTTGGTTCTCTTTTGAAAAAAAGTAGAGCAACTCCCGCTACTGAACAAAGCTCAGGTAACGAGCTTTCTTTGTATCTAACATTGAATGTTGATTATGAAGTTGGTGATGACTTTGATGTTCTTAAGTGGTGGAAGGAAAATGAAAGAACATTCCCGATTTTATCAAAGATGGCTAAGCAAGTACTAGCAATGCCGATATCAACCGTTGCCGTGGAACAAGAATTCAGTGCGGCCGGCAACGTCCTAACCGATTATAGAACGAGGTTGAGCCCGAGCTCTCTTGAGACACTAGTTTGCTTTCACGATTGGTTGAAGGCCCAACGAAGAACTCAAGAAATTACCATCACTCCCTCCCGCCACTTTATGGAGGAAACAACCGAAGGCGGAGAGTCCGATTGATTTTTTATTACAAAATGTATTACATTTTTTAAATTCATCCTAATTCTCAATTGTACTTCTTATTTGAAATAAATATACTTCAATTCGAATATAATATATTGTAATTGTAATAAGAATTATTCTAATTATATAATATTTAAAAAAAAAATTAAATAGGCCCGGCCCGGCCCGTGAACCGGGCGGGTAACCCGAACCGAACCGGACCAGGGGTTATCCGGGCCGGTTCCGGGCCTGTCATCCTAGAACTGAGGCCCGGCCGGTTCTAGGCCCGAACCGGGCCCGACCCGAATTAGGGTAGGGTGAAAAATCAATTTTTTGTAATAATAAGATAAATACAGGAAAATGCACAAATTAGGGTAGGCATGGACCGGTTCCGGTTCGGGCCCGACTGGGCCTCAGTTCAAGAAGGGGAGGCCCGGAACCGGCCCGGGTAACCCCCGGGTCCGGGCCGGGCCTCGGTTCTATTTTTTTTTTTTGGCTTTTCCTAGTTAACCCCCAACCCTCCCCGGGCTCCCTCTCACCCCCAAACCAACCCTAACCACCTCAAATGGCCCAAAATACCCAGTCCAACCCAAAAATTTAAAAAAAAATCAAAAAAAAAAAAATTGGCCCGGGCCGATTCACCTTTTGAAGGGCCTGAGCCCGAACTGCCATCCCACCGGGCCGGTTGGCCCGAACTGAGCTCGGAATCGGTTCACCGGGCCGGTCTGGACCCGCACAGTAGCGGGCCGGTTCGGTTTCATGCTGGTTGGCCCGACCCGAGTCCACCCCTAAATTAGGGGTGGGCCCGGTTTGGAATTGGATCCGGCCGGTTTGGGAGCGGAATAAGTCCGTTTTTTTGGACTTGGTTCAAGACTCAAGAGCGGGTACTCGATTGGGTAATTGGCAAGCTCGGTCTTGGGTTTGAATTTTGGGGATAGGATCGGGCGGTTTCGATGCCAGCCTTACTTTTTTGTTTTCCTTGAAAATGAAAAATAAAATATAACCGGTTTGGGTTTGGCTTGAAATCAGGACCGGATCGCCTGGCTATATGGAATTGGCCCAAACTCGGATTTAACTGGGTTGAACTTTGACTTCCCTTAGCATTGATTGGGTTCAAACTTCAGACTGGGGATCGGGTCAGCCATTATGTTAAATATATACTTCGTATAAAAGATAAATACACTACACAAATTAGTGGAAGGTGGGAGTTAGGCATATGGTTCAGGTATGAGTGGACCCGGTTTGGCCCAGTCTAGAATCATGTCTGATATTGTGCAGTAGAGATGGACTAAACCGGGCTGGCCCGGCCCAGAACCGACCCGGAACCGCTACTGTGCGGGCCTGGATCGGACC